AACGATTTGGTATCAGTAGACATGAACAAATATCTGTAGGATGATTGCACACCTTTACTAGATCGACGCTGGTGAAGTGGCCAGCATTGAGGCCTACCTGCAATTCAAGGACAGATGCTTCATACAAGTCCGGAAGAGGAACGTCATGTTGGCCTCGGGCCACGAACTGGAAGGACGAGAGGTTGCAGAGGCATTGGGCCGCGATAGATAAAATGAAGAACAGGCCGGCTAGCATGGTCGATGTCGATGGACTCGGGACTCGCGACTCGGATTTCAGTGGCTCTTTAAACTTGCTTTAAACGTAACAGATGTTCTGCGGACCCACGGTGTAGCAACTCACCGGATGAGCATGCGTCTAAATAGCCTCGATAGTTACGTAGTCAGATGGGAGAGAAGTCCACTGACCTTCATAGAATGGCGAATTAACATAGCCCGCGTCGGTTATTACAATTAGAAGGCCAAATGCCCGGGTACTCTACATAGCGATTTTGTTGCGGACCACTATTACATAGCATTACACAATGAGACAGTGGAGACAGTGCACCGTACCAATTTGGGTCTGTGCCATGCAGCGCCCTGGCCCCTCTGAACGACTTTGAATTTTGACCAAGAGATGAGCAGTGGGCACCAGAGCTTTAAGCTTTACGTCTCGAATCGTCGAACTTTGAACGAGCATATCTCCGAGTCTTCAAAAGTGGGATCGCGGCTACTGATACGCGCCAAACTGGTTAAGCCAGTTCTCTTTAATGTCAGGGATCTCCACGCTTCGTGACTACAGGAACTGAGAAGTTTGTCTTACAGGCGAGACTCAGAGAGAAGGATATCAATGTCATGTGAAGTGTGGGAAGGTTTGATCACGATAACGTGACCCAGCGCGCCATCCAGATGTGGCAATTCAAAGTTGAACTCTCCGTTGAACACCCACCCACCGGACTTCCTGGAACCTGCAGAGCTCGAAAATGGCATTAGATAGCAGCGGCTTTAGCGATGTCGGCCGTTATGGGACTGTATACCTCATGAAGAAGCAAGACCCCGCCACACCCGTTACTGCATTTCCTCTGGACGACGACGAGACGACATTCGGACGCGATCAGTCATGCAGCATAAGACTCTACTACCCCCAAGTTAGCCCTATTCATGGCAAGATCTACTTCGAAGACCGCAAGGTAAGCAATTACACTTTTGAAATGAAGGAACCTCGGGGAACTGACGGATGTCTTGATGACCTGCAGGCATATTTGGTAGTTCTAGGGGCCGGTGGTCTGCTGGTGGACGGATGCAAGGTCTTGCCAACGACAGCAGGAACTTCATCGCATCATTCGCCCCGGACAATTCCCCTCACGAACAATACCGAGATAGAGATACACAGCAAACGGTTCAAGTTCACATACCCTCCGAAGGAACTACGAGCTGCACTACTCGCTACACCAGCTAGTACGTAACGTTGGCATATCTTTCAACGACAGCTGCTTGATCATCTTGATAGAAACCACCCAAACCCCCCATCGCAGGCGGGCTCTTCGCCTGTCCATGATCCAGAGCGCCCAAGTTTTCACTCCGAGACCTAGTCCTGATCCTAGAGAGAACCTTCGAATCCTTCAGAGCCCTTTACGGCCGTTCAGCTCTCCTAAGAAGCCAAGCCCTCTGCAAACACCTAGCAGCCAGGAAGAAGAGGAGGAAGAGATTGTTCTAGTAGATGGTAATCATCCCCGGGTCGTCGAAGACGAGAAGGACCTTATCATCTTGGAAGACGTCGAGGTCGAGATCAATGATGTTGAGCAATCTCACCCAAGGGACGTGCCCATGCTAGCTCCAGCGCCTCAGTCCCGGAACCCCCCACCGCAAACGCCTCAGCGAAGGGCGCGTCCCTCTTTGCATAAAGCAGTCCTTATTCGCTCTGCTCAACGTGCCGTCATGAAGGCAGAGATCGAGAGGGAGGAGGAGGAGGAGATACAAGAGGTCGAAGAGTTCGCCACCCAAACGCAAAGTGGCAGCGAGGAGAGTTCAAGTGAAGAGGAGGACGAAGATGAAGTCGAAGAGGAGACGGAGCCACAAGGTATGACACCTACCTGGAGGAAGGGACTTGATGCGGTCCAGAGGACCCTGTGGCCTTTCGGTAGGGAGCCAGAAACAGGCGGCTTGGATGAGGTGAACCCAATCCTAGCATTTCCCGACTGCTTACATATACTGCATTAGGACCATGACGAACCCCAAACAGACGAAGTGAAGCAACTGGAGACTGATCATGAACCGCCCCGTGCATATGGCAACTTTATGACCCCTCAAGTACACCGCAGGGCTGGTATATCTGATGCCGGTCGATTGTCGATGGGAGGTGAAGCTCGACGCGTGCTAGTCGAACAGAAATGGCGAGTCAAGGATATTGAGGTTCCACCTCCTGTCCAGGAAATCAAAGAAGAAGATCCCATACTCGATGGGGGGTTGAGCACTCCTCTAGGTAGTCGGGGTCGAGGTCGGGATAGATTGTCCGAAGAGGAACGCAAGGTCAGAATCAAATTCTTTTCTACAGTGGTATTTGCTCATGCGATTGATGTAGGCGATCCAAGAACGACGGCGCTCTGCCCTGCGGACTCCGGACCCCTTCTTCGGCGGTCAAACACCTGGCATCCGCCATTTCCCTGGTTTCCCTGCTTCTCCAACCAAGCCCACCTCTAATCCCTCTCCAACCAAACTCTACTCCCCGATGAAGTCCATCCCTGAGCCTAAGGAGGAAGAGGAGGAGGAGGAAGACCTTGATACCCGCTCGTTGCTGGAGAAAATGAAGGAAACTGTTGCAGAGATGAAGAGACGACGAAGCATGGCACCCGTTGGCCCCGCACCCGGAACACCTGACAGGAAGAACCCGGCAGTGGGGATGACTCCAGGAAAGCGGGCACCACCTACCGGTGGAGACCGTCGATTTTCACTGCTTGCGCCGGCCGCTCGCGAGGAAATATTCGGGAATGAGGAAGACGACGAAGCCACGGGACCTGGGGATCTAAGTGACGAAGAAATGGACGATGACAAGGAGAACGCAATTACGGAGCCAGTACCTATTCCTAGTGGTACTCCAGCGAATCCGTTGCGTTTAGCCCCGAAGACGCCTAAGATGGATGGACTACGCCATATGTTTGCCGCACCGAAGCCTGTCCCACCAACTCCATCCTTCATTGGCGTAAGGGATATGTTCAAAACGAGAGAGGCACCAAGAGTTGCGACGCCTGTATACGAAGGTATTGGGGAACTGATACAAACGCCAGTATATGAGGAACCGCCCACGATCATCGACTTGGAGACTACCGACGAAGCTGCCAACCCAGAGGAAGGGTCACGAGAAAAACAACCAGACGAGGAGCCTGTGATCGAAGATGATACCCCGGAAGTCGAGGAGAAACCCAAAGCAGCACCCAAGACCAAGCTAGTCAAACCGACCAGAATATCCAAGCGATCGACACGAAACGCAGCAACCAAGGATACGCCATCGCTTGCTGATGACGAAGCAACTCCGGGATCGCATGAAGGGGGCAAAGGCGATGATCTAAGTGAGCCGGAAGAAGACGATGTCGACCGTCTTCGACATAGCAAACGACTGCCTAGACCGCGAAAAGTCGACGAGCCTCGCCAGGTAGATTCCCTTCCCACAAGCTGATGATGTTTGACTAATCATGGTATTATAGGTTCCAGCAGCTCCATCCAAACTCACAAGGACGCGGCAGCATTCTGGAGATAAAAGCGAGGTAAGCAACGGGCACTATCGGACTGGTGTTGGTGACTCATTCCCTTTAGGGCTCGAGTTCGGGACTCAAGCCACGTTCACAGTCCAAGGTAGCGGCCACCAGGGCAGCAATCAACGACGTGGTTCAACCAGTTGTGCAGCCTCGTCGTAAAGCCACTACACCGGAAGAGCCTTCATCTTCTGAAGTGACTGAGAGTGCGCCCAAGCGTCGGGCACGGAAGCCCACATCGAAAGTCGATGAGCCTAACGATCCTACAGCGGAAGAACACCCCCCAAGTTCGCTGCCCAAAGCTACGCGCAAGGGAAGGTCCGCGACGAAGTCTAACGCTGATACTGACCCACCGTCGACGGCCAACGAAGCGGAGAATGTTATCGCACCGAAACGGAGGGCTCCGCCTCGAACACGGGCGAGGGATGTTATCAAGGAAGAAGACACCGAAGACAGCGACTTGGCCAAAATCGTAGAACCACTTCCGAAACGGCGCGTGGGCCGGCCAGTGGCAGCCAGCAAGTTAGCCTCGAGGGCGGGTCCGTCGTCACAGAAGGCCACACCTAATGCTCCTTCTGGGACTGGCAAGGAAAACACGCCTGGAACGGGCGATGATGAGGAAGACTTGCCCGAGAAAGCTACCAAGCCCAAGGTCTCAAGAACGAAGAAAGTTGTCAAGGAGGAAGTAGTCGAGGAAGCGCCGAAACGTACCAGAATCACGAGAGCGAGGATGAAGACATGATCGACTATCGAGTTATTTGATTTCCTTTCTGCGTACTGTATGAGTAATGTTGTGAAACTGTATATCTACATCAATGAATTTCGCGACGACAAGAGTTGCCTTGTAGATTTATATCCATGGTTACATGGCGCTGGCGAGGCCTTGTCCATCTTGTTTGCAGTGTTGGATAGTCCATGCCCAGTTGATGAAAGGACGGGACAAACGAGTCATGTAGGCAGCCCACTGCAGAAAAAAAGTTGTCCAGATGTGTATTGTCTATTTCTGGCGCTGGCAGAGACCATATGATATTGTACGCAGTGCCGGCGACAGTCGAGGGTAGGCAAAGACTGTATGGCTGATCAACTGATCTATCATCGGCATATTGGCTCTTCTGGTAACCTCTTCTCAGTCCGTTAGGCCTTCTTTTCACAGGAGCGTCCTTTTCCAGTCGGGGGTGCTATGAGATAGATCGGTCGGCGTAGGACCTGTATGGGCGTGTGGTGTATCGACAATCTTGGGCACGATCCTTCCTCTCAAAAAAAGAAAATCGTCTATGGACACTGTGGGATTTGAACCCACGACCTCTCGCATGACCCAGAAACTGTATTTCCTGCGAAGCGAACGCGCTACCCCTGTGCTAAGTGCCCATTGAATTCAATTGCCACCCGGGAAGTACAAGAGGTGAAAAATGGTGTGAGGAGACATAGGTAAGAGTATTTCTCCTAAACACCCCTGATACATCATTAACATCCCATCTTCTTCTCTCTTACAGCCACCATGCCCTCCACCCAGCGCAATGAAAACAAGGAGAACCTGCCTGACATTCCAGGAATTCACTCCAAAAAACGGGATTTCAGTGCTCAGCTGTGCACCAAGTTTGCAACTGCTACAGATATGGCTAACAACTGATCAACAACATTTGATTGAATCCATTTCAAGCCTTTGGCACCACCTACAATTGCTAATTGATTGCAAGCCGAGAACATTTGGATTGAATACTATACCCTTGAAACTGGATCACGAGAAAAGGCATTAGCAACTTTGAAATGTGGATGTGACAGGAGCACGAAGGTCACGGCACACATTGTGGCAGTCCAAAGTGATAGGGATAACACTAGATTGGAGTACACTAAAGATACAGCAAGACATGGGGGGTTTGTATACTGTAGGACTAGGGTACAGGGTGTAGGTAAATAGATGGATGAGAGTAATTGTAATGAGTCCTGGACGAGCAACGGTCTAAGAGGTAAACAAGGGGGATCGGGAATAGGAGTAAGTCCCTTGGGGATCAGGCGAAGCCCAAGGTGTCACACTTTCCTCCTTTGCCATTTCGATTCCTTTTGCTTCACTCGTTTGGTCTCAGTTTCATCACGGTGATGATGGTGTGTTTGCAGGGGTGTGTAAGGGCAACCTCAAGATGGCCGACAGCGCAAGCCTAGCAGAGGGAGAATCCAAAGATATGAATAAGACTAACTACAATACATGAGGAAGCTGCTCACCTAGCAGAGGGAGAATCCAAAGAGAACAGGATAAGGATTCTCCATGCTAGGAAGCGAAGTATATACTGTAGTAGCGTGGGAGGAATGAAGGGATAACTGTACAGTACACCAGCCACAAGTCCGAACGAATATCACAAGGTACAAGGAGGCATGTGATAATGAAGTGGAAGGGGAATGTACCAGAGTCGTGCCAGCGACCTGGGGAAGGAGAGGCGAAGAGTAACGAAGTGGGGGAGAGAGGTAGTGGTAGCCCGGACGAGCCCTGAGGTGTATAGACGAGTCTGAGCGAGTCCGAAGTGCGGGAAGACTCCGGAGTCACCGGACATGGCTCGGATGTGAAGGGAGTGGGCGGAAGGGAAGTGGAAAGGAAAGGGAGCGAAAGGGGATGAAAGGGAAGTATGTGAGAGTCCGTGGAATGAAGGGAAAGAGAAAGGAACGAGGAGGAAGGGAGAGGGACAGGGGGAATAGGAGAAAATAGGAGTGTCCCCTTACAGGGTGGTTGTTCGTGCTGGGCATCATGTCTGTGAGAGTGCTCAACATCAGTTGGTGTATGCAATGGGATTGTGATTGGGATGGGTGGTAAGCCAGTAAACGTTAACGTTGGCGCAGATATGAGTGATCGATGCATGCTCAATCGACTCCGTTCATATCCTGCATGTGCGTCAGTCCTCACATTCACACCATCCAACCTTCGCATGCAGATGTGCTCACCTTAGCGCACTCCACCTCATCCTTCCACTTCCCTTCCCCGCTCCCGTCCCTCCACTCCTCTAGTGCCTCCACACGAAGCCTGCCCGCAACACAAGCTCCCACGTCGTCGTACACAGTGTCGATTCCCGCTCACGCACCGACTTTTGTGTTGTGCATTTTCCGTTTTCCGTTTTCCCTCCATCTTCCCCAGTTTCTGTGTTCCCCTTGTGCCGTGCCGCAAACTACCCGGCGTGCGTGCAATCCCCGGAGTCCTGCACCAGTGCGCTTGAGAAGGGGATGTGGCACAGCTATTGTGTTGGGTGCCTGTGTCGCCATCCCCTTCAAGTGGGCCACAATCCTCTTCAGCTCGCCAATCTTCACTGCATATGCCTCGGTCAGCATAACACCCTTGTCTGCGAGCCACACATTGTTGCAGTACATCACGTATGCCGTGTTGTTGTCTACGAGGTCTGCGAGGATCTTCACCGTGCCGACCTCACTGCAGATGTATGCGTTGTTGATGCTGCCCTGCAAGTTCGCGACGAAGCCCTGGAGGGCTGAGTGGAGAGGGGACGTTGGTTGTTGGATGTGCGGGTGAGGGAGGGAGCTCAGTGAGAACGGGTTGCGAGCCTCCCTCGCCTGCTGCAGAACCAGCTCCTGCTCCTCGTAGTTCACATGTTCAGGTACAACTGCCTCGTCATGGATCCCGCCATGGGCAGCGTTCATGTGCCCGTTGTCATACTCCAAAATGGGATTTGGAGTAAATGCCATGAATCATATGAATTATATACTAGTTGTTATTCTGTGACACAGCATGCACACTGGATTGACAAATAAGAAGGTTCCCAATACTCAGTCACACTATTAAAGTTTGAATTAATTTACCCCACACTCCTTGCAAATCATTTTCTATTTCTCTGTCTTCCACAAGCCCCTAAGCCCCTAAGCCCCTTTACTCCTAAGTAGGCACCTAGAGATGCCAAACTCTCTAGAATTCACCCTACCACTGTAGAACTTGGTAGAATATTGTAGAATATGGAAGAATGGAGTCTTACTAAGCTTGTATAATGCCTTACTAATCCTGTACAGCCTCTTACTAAGCTCTTACTAAGCTCTTACTAAGCTTGAGCAGTAGATTACTCATCCTGCATAGCCTTGCATAGCTTTCTGCATAGCCCTGCATAGCTTTTGCATAGCCCTGCACTGCCCTTTGCATAGCCTTGCTCAGCTTTAGTATAAAGATAGCAGCACAGCCTCAGGGTCTGAAAGGTATATAAACCCCCCAACTTGTAGTAGATAGACATGCTAATATTACTCAGTTAATTCACTGTTTAATCTTGAGACCATCCCCTGGGTTCTAGTAAATTGAGATTAATACTATAAAATCTTGAGTACAGCCCTTGGTGTCTTCTTAGCCACTTGAAGTCTAAGTTCTTGAGTGAACTATTGAATCTTGACCTCCATTTACTGTTTGTCAGTAGAATATTGCCTGTAGGAAGAGCATAGTCAGAGCTATACTTGATTATTGAGATAATTGAGTACTCTAACCTGTGAAAGTCCTAGTCTCAGTGAAACTAAAGTGTTATCTCCACTCGGTTAGTGTTAGTTAGTAGAACCCACGTCACGTCATAGTCATTCGTCTGTCACTGGCTAAGCATTTAGACTGCAGAAGTTACTGTAGGGTGCTTAGGACAATAGGCGCAGTACCACACTAAATCTTAACTGTGCGTCCGGTATTGCTAGTCTATAAAAGGGAGTGATCTGGCAACTGTAGACCCAGAGCTTCTGACCACGTGTAGACATAAGTTGGTCATAGTAGTCCACGTTCACGTTTATGTTCTTGTTTGTTTCCGGAGATTAAACACGATAGTAGCCTAAGGCTAAAGGAAAGTCCTTGTTGAAGTATAAAGTTATTGAAGTCTTGAAGTGTCGTTTCAGCTATCCTATTCGTATAGCAGTGTCCTCAGAGAAGCTACGAAGGAGGAGAGAACTTTAGGTTCATTCTCTTAGCTCAAGTACCGTTGATTAGTTGCCCCTTAAAACCACCCCTTTCTGACCTCCTATTTGTCTTTCAATAATCCTCTAGCCTGCACAACTTGGGTGATTGCTTGACCTATCCTGACTGGACCAGCTAGACCCAACATATTAGTGATTTCATCACTGAGTGTGACACCGTAGATTGTCTCTGCGCTGAAGACACTCATGCATCACTAGCAGATATGTGCCCCGCATCTACAGCCCCAAGGGTGCGTAAATATTGATTCATTGAACTGATTGGTTGGATCAACCCAACACTCATACTCACCTACAAGCCATGTGGTTACACCCACCCGCTTTCTCGATCGGCGCCTGGCAATTTGGGCATTTCTTCATTTACCGTACCCACGCCTCGCTCAATTCTTTGTCCTTCGAGACCTGTGCGTCCTCGCAGGACATTCCTGCATGCCCGTCTTCGTGACACGCCACGCACACACTCGAGAAACAAGACGGGCATTGGACTGCACACCCAGCACTTGCCCTACCATCCGTAACAGCGGGTGGATTTGATTGCAATCCGGTGTCCTGCAGTACTTCAGACTCTGCGGGTTCCTCGTTACATAGGAGGTGAACACTGCCTCGAGCAGGCGCGTAAAGTCCGTGGGTAGTAGGAACCGCTGGACAATTGGGATGGGGATGGGCTCCTGGCATTCCTCCCCAACGCATATCAAAGGAAATTTGTCGGCCTCCTCTGCGCTCGTTAGGAGATGGCGCATACACGGTGTACATTACACACACCCAAGCACCAGTGGATTCGTTGCAGTATCGTAGCACACTGTGCAGATCTGTTCTGTCACCACGCTCGCCACGACAGCAATGTCTGCTTCCGCCGTTGCCTGGGGGATGGAGCTTGAAGCCCCGCAGTGTGTGTCGCGCGTCCTCACTGCGCACCGTGATCATGCCGGACGCAGGGTTAAAACAGAGATTTTCGGCGTTGAACATCTCCCGCAGCGCGGGCACGCCCTTCCGGATGAAGAAACCCGCCCCTCCACAGTGACGATCCCATCCAGCATCTTCTGTGCGTCGGTACGCTTGTAGATTGACCACAATCCACCTGAGATATCAGCGATGTGGTAGGGCAGCGCGTCCGTGACCTATTGTTGCGTAATGGGCCATCATGTTCGCATCACAGATGACAAGCTGGTAAACTTGCGGATGCTCTCCTCGTCGACAGCAGGGTTGAGGTTATTGATCATGATTGAGTTGGAATTGAACCCTCTGATACCAGGTCTGGGAGGGAGCATGTTGACTGTGACTTTGACGTGGCCCCATGAGTACTTTATCGTTCAAAGCTTGTACATGTCTCCTCGTCTCCTCCATATCAGTGAATTTAGCAACAAAGCGGACAGACGGGAACTGCCAACTTGCGTGCTCAGCGGCAACGAGGTTATGGAGGAGGGATGGGCATGGAGTCGAGGTGT